ACTGCGACTGAAAAAGAAAAAGGTAAAAAGCTAATTTTCTCAGTGATATTTATATCAGAAGGGAATTGACTTTTTTCACTGTGTTAATTCATTAATGTGTCTAGTAAATCTTGAATATGCATAGATATTTGAAACACTTTAATCACTAATAATAAAAACAAAAAAATGCCTCATATAAGAAGCAAAAGGTAGATACTCAGTGGAAAATTCCCTTACTCTGTTTCATTTTCAGAGCTTACCTCCCACCATTCTAGATCAAGTATTTAAAATAAGTACTATTAATCCCCAAATNTAAATGCCTACTCTGTATTCTTGATCTAACCTCCATTTAAGCTTTGATCATTGTGCAGAAGTATTTGTTAATGATTCCAAAATTTAAGGGCAAGTTTAACATTCAAGAACCATGGGGAGTAAGCACATAGGACTTCCTAAGGGAAAGTGTCAGTCGCTCAGTCGTGTCCAACTCTTTGCGACCCCATGGACTGTAGCCCACCAGGACTCTCTGTCCATGGAATTTTCCAGGCAAGAATACTGGAGTGGGTAGCCATTCCCTTCTCCAGGGGATCCTCTCAACCCGGGGACTGAACCTGGGTTTCCCACATTGCAGGCTTTACTCTCTGAGCCACAGGGAAGCCCATAGTACGTCCCACACAACCCCATAAAACCACAACTATGCCTACCTATCACAAGCAGTGTTTTCACCTGACTTCAGCAATTGTGATTTTTCAATGTATTATTACCTTTGTTATTAACACTTACAGCAACTTGGGACAGAAAATCATTTAAGAGGTAGCTAAACTTGGCAAGAGAAATTCTAGAAAGACTTTGCCCTCTAATGGAGGACAAAAATCTGCTGAGGGATAGTTTTATGTAAAGACAAATTGGCTTTATCTGTAAATCCATATTGCACAGCAGGGAAAAATCATTCTGAAGGTACAGGAAACGAAAAATGTATATACCAGGGTTTCAGGTTATATATGAAAAGGTACCTATTTAGAAATTGCAACAATGTTTGATGGAATATTTTATTAATAGATGATAAGGCTTTCAGTAAACACAGGCCCACATCTTCAAAGTACTGTGGAATAGGTGAAATAAAAGAAAATTTTCACACAAGTTGGAAATGTCTTGCTTTGGCAGTTGTGGGTAAGGTTGTCAAGTAAATTCCAACACAGTGCCCTGCAAAGTGAACTCAAAGCAGAGAATAAACGTGAGCATATACTCACATGCACACACGAATACCAATGTGACTTTGTAGCCTAGATTTCAAGGGGAAGACAAGACAGACATTCATCAGGATATTGCTATCGTCTAAAAATAGTAGAGGAGTCTCTGAACTATTCATGTTTCACCAATCGGCACATCTGAGGGAGAGCTCCCTTATACATTGATGCATTATCTTTATCATTGTAATTGATGCCTAATGCTTTTCTACTCATCAAAAGCAGTCTTGAATGGAAGGGACATTAATCTCCTTGTAAGACGATCATCACTTTGAAATCCTAAGTGATCTCACATTTCCGAACAGCTTAAATCACAACACTGAAGGGAACAATAATACAGAGTGCTACTGATTCATTTCCTGACTGCCAGAAGATATGATCTCACATACCTGAGCACCCTGGTGAATTCTGATATTATTTCCTAGTACCAGAGGGTGGAGAAGAAAGATCACTCTGCCTTTCCTAGAGTAGGTGGGAGGCTTTGACACTATCCAGAGACCCCAAGGGGCCAACACAGGAAGAAATTTTTTTCATTTCACCTAAACTGATGCTCTAGAATTTGACTGTGACCCATCAGAGCCGTCAAAGAGCCTTAATTTCCTAATGAAAAGTGCTACAGGAGGCATTTTCCCTTTTTTTACATTAACATGATTTTTTCACGAGTTCTTTAAAAAAGCATAGAAGAATATATCAAGGCAGCTATGTCTATGGCAGAGTCTTAACCTGTATTAGGAAGTATGGACAGGCTTTCAAAATTCTGATCACTTGATCAGAATTTTACCCCCAGGGGGTAAAAGTGAAATGAGGTCCCAGGGGGCTCAGATTTATTTAAAGGGAAAACTCTTAAAAAAAAAAAAACAAACTTTTAATGAAAGTTTTTAATAAAACTCGAGAATACTGGAGTGGGTAGCCTTTCCCTTCTCCAGGGAATAGTCCCAACCCAGGTATGAAACTCAGGCCTCCCACATTGAAGGCAGATTCTTTACCAGCTGAGCCACAAGGGAAGCCCAGAGGGAAAACAATACCAGATAGAAGAGTCTAAACAGTAATAATTGCCCACTTAAACGTTACTGATTACAAACAAGTTTCTAACTCACAAGTGTGTGTGTTAGTCACTCAGTCATGTCCAACTCTTTGCAACCCCATGGAATGTAGCCCACCAGGCTCTTCTATCCATGGAATTCTCCAGGCAAGAATACTAGAGTAGGTAGCCATTCCCTTCTCCAGGGAATCTTCCTGATTCAGGGATCAAACCAAGGTCTCCAGCATTGTAGGCAGATTCTTTACCATCCTGAGCCACCAAAGAAGCCCCCTTATATGTGTACTAACAAAAAAAGTCTACAGAGTGACAGAAGCAAGTTGCAGAAATACATTTGTAACATGATGCTATTTTAAAGATGTATATATATACATAGTTGTTCTCAGGAAAAAGTCTGGAAAATGATATACCAAGTTATTGAAAGTGTTTTCCTCTGGGGTGCTAGTTAAACCATCAATTAATACAAACTTATATAGCTTATGCTGTTTCAAACTTTTACAAGTACATAGTACTTTCATTTTTAAAAAAATGCTGGATAAAAGCAAAACTCAGTGAAATGCATGGTCAAAATTGAAGACACTGAAAATAATCAAAATAATGTAGTGTTTTTTCCAGGTACCAGTGAAATTTTCCAGAAGGTATAGAAGAGAGTTGGCTGGGTTAAGAGTCACAATTAGTTGACAAACAAATGCTTTGACTTTGGAAACAAAATAGCACTAAGCTGGTAAGCAGGCGGGAGGAAGATTTTGGTCCAGTCCTGTGAGTGCAAGTAGCTTGGGTGGTGGCTTAGTTGCTAAGTCCAGTCCGACTCTCTTGCAACCCCTGGACTGTAGCTCTCAAGGCTCCTCTGCCACGGGATTGCCCAGGCAAGAGCCATTTCCTTCTCCAGGGGATCTTCCTGACTCAGGGATGGAAGCTGTGTCTCCTACATTGCTGGAAGTTTCTTTATTCCTGAGACACCAGGGTAGCCCCAAGCTTGGGTCAGGATTCAAAAATCCAGCAGCCAGTATTGCGTGGCAACTGCTTTCCCAGGTAGTTAGACATGTATTCAGCTCCTTCAAGACTATCAACATCAACATTTCTGTATTTATTTAGAAACAACGCCCAATGTGCAACAACGTGACCAGGGTAAAAAGAAGTGGGGAATGACACACTCCTTCTTGGCAGGTGTAATTCCTTCAAATAAGGCAGTATGAGGGTGGCCACAGAAACAGCCTGTGAGCAGGTACTTTTCACTGTCACATCTAGATAAAGAAGGATCAACTGCCTCAGATTTTCTAAGACATGCACTCTCTTCCTCATATACAACAGGGCAGGGGTCTCAAGAGTTGATCCAGTAGTGTCTGAAACAATGGAAGTTGCGGAGACTAGAAACTGAGGAAGAGGCTGAACACAAACTGCGTTCTTAAGTTTATGTCAAGTCTGGCAGGAAGTTTCTACCAGCATTCACAGGGACCGCAAAGGGGACAGGGTTTCAACCTGGGCACAATGAACTAGCTGCTGCTCCAGAAATGGAACTCCTCTAAAACTTAGGGCTCCCGATTAGGGTAAGGTACATATATCACTGGATACACACTACTGGTTGACAAACTCTTTTTGTTCAAAACTGACAATTTAGAAAACAAAACAAATGACAGTCTTGGGGTTTATCAAAATGAACAGAGAAAGCATGAAAACTCATAGGAAGAGTTACTTTATTAACAAGACAGCCCAGGCTGACGCATGTGGTACCCACTGTACCTCTGACCGCTACTCCCCTAGACTGGGTGCTTCTCGAAGGAAGAGAAAATGCCTCTCTCCCTCTTGTCTCCCTAGCGTACCACCAACATTGAAACATACCAACTCAATTGTATGGTTCTCAACACTTTTTTCCTCCAATGGTTTGATTCAAGAGTTTGAATCAAACTCTTGATTCAATGTTTTGGATCTAAAACAGCAGCATCAGTCTCCTCCACTGTCTTGAACATGCTGACAATTTGGTGATGGGGGGAGATGGGTATTTAACCATGGAGATGTGTTTATATACTCAGGAGCTCTAATTTAGAATTATTGTGAACAGAGGAAATCAGATATCCAATCCTTTTTTGTCAATAATGTGTGGAAAAACCTTTTGGTTAGTGTAAGAGAACACATCACTGACTTCTCTTTTAATCTATCTCCAATGTTACTTCAGATATTTAAGGGAGAACTCACTTGCAGAAAAATCTCATGCTAGCTTTTGCTCCAGACTCCTGGGGTGGTTATTAGCAGTGTGGCCTCTGAGCAGAGACAGTGTGAATTGAAGTGCTGACTGACACTTAATAATTGTATGCATTTAGGCAAGTCAGCTTGTCAAGTCTCAGTTTTCTTATCAGGAAAGTGGGTTGCCTGAAACTAAAATACATGTTAGTCACTCAGTCATGTCTGACTCTTTGTGATCCCATGACTGTAGCCCACCAGGCTCCTCTGTCCATGCAATTCTCCAGGCAAGAATACTGGAGTGGGTAGCCATTCCCTTCTCTGGGATATCTTCCTGACTCAGGGATCAAACCTGGATCTTCTGCATTGCAGGCAGATTCTTTACCATCTGAGCCACCAGGGAAGTCCAAAACACAAGTTAAGTACTTACATAACATGGCGCTTGGTGCATGGACAGTCCTAAATATCTGTTACATTGATACATCTGCTTTGACTCTTCACTTCCAATCATGCCCCAGCTCAGCATAGGGCAAATAAATAAAGACAGTTGAAATTATATATTTATTTATTCTTTATTAATACTGAACTAGGCAGATCTGTATCTCTCAGTTGTCAGCAAATAACATACACAAATTTTTACATATATGCAAATATATACAAGTATTTGTATAAAACTGAATACTCATGATTTTAAATTTGACAAATATCAGGTAAAAAGCAGACTATCACACTGAGTTAATTTCTCTCTCAATGTTCAGCATGAAATAGAAGTCTATTTTACACAAGATCCTCACAAAAAGGTTAATATAAGTAAGCCACGAACACTGCAAATTTGACCACTTGATTAGATTTGAGGAGGAAGGGAATAACTTCCAGTATCATGTTGAGAAACAAGCAATAAAAGCACACGAGTCTGAAAAAATGGAGTTATCCTCGACGGGTCAAAATCAGCACCCGAGGAAAGCAATTCCACTCCTTGCACTTAAAGCGAATCACTCTTTAAAGCACACTGTAGCTCACGCAGACAAGCACTTCTTCAAGGAGTCCTTGTTTAAGCAGATCCCTTTGTACAAACATGAAAAAAATCAAATCTTGCATTCAGTAAAAGTTGAAGGTTTAAGGTGAGGACATTTCCTAAGCCCACAGGCTTACTAAAATCATCCACATGGCTGATGTAATGCTGATGCTTTTTCTTCAGATAAAGCAGTTCAACCAGTGATGGTGGATGGCAGAGAAATCAGTGGGTGACACATGGAAAAACCAACAGGGGGAGGATTTTTAGGGTGCTCGTGCTCAACAGCTCAGTTGGGTCCAACTCTTTGTGACCCCATGGACTGCAGTCCCCCAAGCTCCTTTGTCCACGGAATTTTGCAGGCAAGAATACTGGAGTGGGTTGCCATTTCCTACTCCAACTGTTAGGGCAGGGTAGCAAAATAGCTTCTCTGAAAGGAGAAGAGTCAAGAGTAAGTGAAAACATAGTCCTTATTTATTTGATGTCTCTCTTTTATACCCCTCACAGCTATCATATTGGAGATTCTGAGCAACAGGAACATTTTGAACTTATAAGAGGGCATTAAGATAACACAATGCCTATTGGTCAAAAAAAAAAAAAAAAATGAAAAACAAAAAAACAACTGGCTAAAATGGAAAATAAACTACAGAATTAGATGTTTCATGTGTTTTATATCAATCTCATAGAAAATGGTAATGTTTTCTAAAATTACAATATTTCATATGCTCTAAGCTAAATGTCAAAATTAGATAACATCATCTGCAATTGTAGTATGAAAAATCTGATAGCATATCTGCTGCTCCTTTCCACTTGTGACATTATATGACCTGATGAAGAATTCCAGCCACGGATACGCATCTACAAATCAAAAAAAGAAGTAATATTGAATCATTAAAACGAAACATATAACTCAGAAATATGTATCTAAGCATAACACTTAACTAGTAAAATTAACATATTTAATTTAGCTTGAGAAGTAAATAAATACACTCACCAAATTTAACATCATCTGTTCTTTCAAATACACACTGGCTTCATGTTACTGCTTTGCAGCAATTCTGACTAATTTGAATTTTTCCCCAATAACAAGAAAAAGTAATGATGTAGGGTTTTCAAAATATTTGATATCATAGGTAGTAATCTAAATCATTCCTGACTTTTTTTTAAATTTTATTTTTGGCTGTGCTGGGTCTTTGCTGCTACTTGGGCTTTCTTCTCTAGTTACAGCGAGTGGGAGCTACTCTCCTGGCAGTGCATGGGCTTCATTACGGTGGCTTCTCCTGTTGCAGAGCATAGGCTCTAGAGCACGCGGGCTTCAGTAACGTGCAGGCTCGGTAGTTACAGCACACAGGCTGAGCTGCCTCGTGGCATGTGGGGTCGTCCTGGGCCAGGGACTGAACGTGTGTCTCCTGCATTGGGAGGCAGATTCTCAACCACTGGACCACCAGGCAAGTCCCTGGTGGGGACTTTCCTTTCTTTTTTTTCCTGCCGAGTGCTTACTGATCTCCCCTGTTTTGCTTTTCTTGGCTGACTGCGAAGAAGCCAGCTCACCTTTATATCTGTCTAGCTGAAAGCCCTGTCAGGTACCAGGTACTCTGTCCAGGCAATATGGCAGCCACAAGTGCCATTTCCAAGCTTTGGCCATGACCACAGTGAATCTATATATACCTTCTAGAACAGTCTGGTAATATTTCTTAAAGTTTGAATTTGAAAGACACTTAATATAGTCCTAACTATTGGCAAGGGTCAAGCAAGACAGGCTTCTCCCACACTGTCGGTAGAACCATGAATACGGAAAATGCTCTTGAAAAGCCATCTGGCAGTATGTATCAAACGCCTATCATATCTATGCTTTTTGATACGACTGTTTTATTTTCAAATATCTATCCAAAAGAATCCAAACAGCCAATAAAAATGAAAACTGACATCAAATAAAAGTATGTAAGTTAGACTTAGTTATGGATGTACAAAAACTCTCTCTTTGGAATTGTTATAAAATGCAAAGACTGATCAGGGGAAAATAAACCTGATTTAAGACAAACTGTAAAAGTTAAACTGACAACAGCTAAATTTGCTGCTGGTAAAATCTGTTACTGATGAAAAATTGTGATGAGAAGTCAAATTGCCTTAAAATGATTTAGATCTGCACATTTAAGGCAAAGAGAAATAATGGCCACCAAAGAAAGTAGGTGTAATCAATGCAACCTGACTTGAAGACTGGCTGGTGAATCAAATATTACACAGAAAACAACAAAAGCTAACAAAATATGTAGATAAAATATGAAATTAGCTAATATTGAATAAACAATTCATCAGTGAAATGAGTGAGTTTTTTATAGGAAATGTTTGTCAAAATTTCATCCCTGTTGGCTCAATTTCAACTGTTTGTACGCATAAGCAGCTTATTAAATGTGTTTGCGATCAAAACTGCCTTTTTTCCTGCCGACTGCTTACTGATCTCCCCTGTTTTGCTTTTCTTGGCTGACTGCGAAGAAGCCAGCTCACCTTTATATCTGTCTAGCTGAAAGCCCTGTCAGGTACCAGGTACTCTGATACATTTCAAAATATATAGAAAATCTTTTTTTCATTTCAGGAATTATGATTCATACCTGTCTTATCCTTGCCACAGTCTTCATCAGTAGGTAGGTCATACAGTCTCATCAATCACTAATTTATAAATTTATTTGGACTCAGATTTAAAAACTTTTTTACCTCTAAAAGTCCAGAGATTAGCCATAAGCTAAGTATTATTTCAAGAAAAAGAATGAATGGCATTAACAAATATTACTGCCTACCAATTTTTGCTCCTGGGGGACAAAACATATCCATGATCATTTCCATGTTATGCTGAAGATTATCATTGTTTAAGACTTCTGATGCTGGAATCTGGAAGAAATTTTCCTTAAGAAAAACACAAAGAAACAAGGAAATGATTAGAAGTTATAATCAATGTGAAAGTATTTGAATATTATCTAATTAAAATCATCTAAACTACTTCACCCTATTTATATTGTAGACTTCATAAACTAGAGTGCTAAACTCTAAAATCTAATCCATTACTTTAATCTAAAGACAGCTTTGAGATACATATAAAACCAAGTTAAATTGTTTTGACATAATGATAACTAAAAGTAGTGAGCAGAACACAGTGAAGTTTACTATTCTCTTGACAGCACATAGACTAAGCACCTATGATGTCTAAGTGCTGAGTTTAAGAGTATAATATATACTATATATTTATTTGTTTAGCTTTTTTCTCCTCTACTATTTGTAAGATCTAGGAGGGAAAGGAGTTTGCTTGCTTCACTCACTGCCATGTTCCTATCACAAAGAATAGCACTTGGCATAGAGCAGGTGCTCATTAAATAGTTAATAAATGGATAAACTGATTAGGTAGAAGAAAAGGTGTCCTCATCTTTATCCCAGATTTTTTTCCCAATGTGTGTAGTAAAAACCTCACTGGCCCGTGCCCTCAGTTTCTGAGAGGTAACCTCTAAAACCTTGGAACATCATGCCTCACAGATGTGTCTGCATTTGCCTAGGTAACCTGGGTCACTCTAACATAGTGATTTAGGGTGGAGAGTTTGGAGCATGTGGTTTTAACTTGACCACTGGAGGGGCTGAAGACTGAGATAAGTCACAGGGGCAGCCAATACTGACTACCTGATGAAGCGCCAATAAAAACTGGATGCTACGGCTCCTTTTGCTGCCCTGGTTGGCAACACCTCACTTGTACTGCTACACATCATTACCAGGAAAGCAACACTGTCCACGACTCCACAGGAAGAGAACATTAGCTCTATGTCTGAAACTTACCTGGATTCAGATTCATGCACCTCTTCCCTTGAGGATTTTAACCTATACCCTTTAGCCATGATAAATAGTTAACAGTGAGCATAATGCACACAGTAAGTTTTATAAGTCTTTCTAGTAAATTATCAAAACTAAGAGTGGTCGTGGAGACCTCTGTGCTTTCGATTGGCGTCAGAGGTAAGGGTCTTGGTCTAGGGAACCCCTCAACTTGAAATTGTTAGCAATGAAGGTAGTCTTGTAGATAGCTACCAAGCTTCACATAATACAATGGATCTCCCCTTCAAAGTAATTTCATTCTTTCTAATATGAAATGTTGGAGACTTAAAAAGCCCAGTGAAATGCTAATAGATAACGCCTGAGGGTATGGCCACACCTCTGCCTCCAGTTCTTGGAGTAGAACTTCTGCATGGTATAGAGAAGGAGTCTTTCCTTAAATTCTGATTTTTCAATTTCTCACTATTCACATATTAAGATTATAGTGTCAAATCAAGAGAGTAAATACATACATAATTTAAGATTTATGTGCTTGTTTTATTTATTCTTCTGAGTTGCCTTAAATGTTCTCAGTAATAAGGTAGGCATGGATAAATATATTAAAATTCAAAAAAGTACTATTTTAGAAATATCTTCTAATAGTTAGAAATATCTTCACTACCTCTGTTACTTACAGAATCCATGAGGTAAGCTTCCAATACTCCCGTTCCATCGTCAAGAGTAAATGTCATCACAAACACTTGTTGGAGGGGAACAATGCCCAGTGCTAATGAAGGAAAAAAGTTGAAACCATATGAATCTCCTACGTCGTTTTTCTTTGACCACACTGTGCTCCCTCCAGTGAAAGCATGGAGTCTCACAACCACTGGACTACTAAGAAGTCCCACTATGCCTTTTAATAACAGTAAAGAAAAAAGTTGTTTTGTGATATTATGTTCCTGTTAATCTTGTTAACTAAAATAATTCAAGAGATTAAAAAAAAAAGCACTCCTTTTTGTTCCCTGATACTAATATGTTAAGCTCATTTCAGAAGGGTAATTTTGGAATGTTATACTACACCTGTATAGAGACAATGACTCAAGAGCAATGGTATCTTTGTTAACTTTATTTAAAAAAAATTTATGTTTTGGCTGCACTGGGTCTCCCCTGTGCATGAGAGCTTTCCCTAGCTGTGAGTGGCACGCGGGGGACACTCTCCATTGCAGTGCGGGGGGCTTCTCTTGCTGCGGAGCACGGGCTCGAGTGTGGGCTCAGTGGCCGGGGCGCAAGCGCTCAGCCGCTCTGTGCCACGTGGGATCTTCCCAGACGAGGGAGGGAACCCATGTCCTTGTATTGTCTTGGATTCTTAACCACTGGACCATCAGAGAAGTCCCAGTATCTTTTTAAAACACTAAATGCTGATAGAGCATTATCTTTAAAATGAGTTGATCTTCACAGAAAATATAAAAGGCAATTCAATGCATGTTAGCTTATGTAAGAGAAAATTTAAATGTCAGAATGTTCTTAAAAAAAACAGCATACAGTTCAATGGTTAGGATTTTGTAACCTGTCTCTATCCTTTGGATTTTAAGCACAGAGATCACTTATTTTTTTAAAAGATAACATCTGGTTGAATGATGCCAGAATCTGAGATTTCATAATTTGGTTTAGATGAGGAAAAAGGAAGAAATTAAAGTGATACTAAATCATATGAAAGTGTATAGGTTAAAATGAACATCTTACTTTGTGTCTATAAATGAAAGACATTCAAAATGCTTATATAATGGAATATTGTCTTCCATCTGTGGAATTCATATTCAAATATGACTAATAAAGGGGGCAAGTAAGAAAAATAAATTAGGCCATACAGACATGAGAAAAATCACTAATACAGAGGAACTGATTTTCAAGATTCAAAAGTACTCAATAGACTGTGGGCTAAAACCAAGAAGGATGAACAGAAAACCTACTCTAAGAGACCAATAAGCAAACAAAGAACTACATTAAGTACAGGATGATGAGACCAAGCTTGAAGTACACAGCAAGAAATTCATGCAAAAGTTAACCTGGATTTTAACTGGACCACAAACAAAACATGAATTAGTAGTATCACATAGCTAAATTAAAAGAGAAAGAAAACAAAACCAAGAATACAAACCAATATCTACACAATAAAATTTTCAGGCAAGCAGGAGCACTGTCCAATTTTAGGGAATAAAGGTTTTCTCCACATTCTGAACTGGCCAACATCTGCAGCCCTATTTCTAGCTTTGAGTACCAAACTTTGAGAAGAACATTGGTAAAATGGAATGCTTATTGAAGAGGAGAAATAAAGCAGTAAGAAACATGAGAAAATACCAAAGGAAGTGTGGATACCTGCTTGGAGAAATAAGGACTTAATGAATACTTGACAGATTACATTCAAATGCACAGTCTACTGATTTTATAGAAGAGGGAACACACGGACTCTAATTCTCTTAACAGCAGACAGAACGTGACCCATGTTGAAATTGCAGGTAAGCAGATTTTGCCCCACTGTTAAGTACTGCATCTAAAAAATAAGATTTCTTATCTTACAATGAAAATCCCGCGGACAGAGGAGCCTGGAGGGCTGCTGTCCGTGGAGTCTCACAGAGTTGGACACAACTGAAGTGACTTAGCAATGTAAATGGGTCCCCAGTTGCTGAGAGTTTTAAGCCAAGGCTGGATGACCACAGTTAATGATGTGATATAAAAAGACTCTTATTATTCCAGCTAAAGACTTGTATTGGGTAAAAAGTTCTAATAGCTAGTTCTAAAATTCTTTTCAAACCCAAGATACCATAAACTGGAGAGATTTTTCACAAGTTGTATTTATGATTAATACTAAATTATTGAAAATTAAAATGTAGTAACTGAAAAATACTGGAAGATTCTTAAAAGTACATTTTCAGGTTTTTAAAATATTTAAACTTTTATTATGATCACTGTGAATGGTTCTGCTTAAGAAAAACTAAACTTTAGCATAACCTTTGCTCTGATTTTAAAATATCCACAAATACTGAAATATTATCAGTGAGATTATCCTATATAAAGACAGTTACAATTATAGGACAGAAAAATTTAGCTAACCTTCTGCAACAGAAGAAGGAATCCACGATGTTTTATTAACCAGGGAATTTAGATTTTTTATTGGTCTCAAACTAGAGCAGTGTTTACATCTGAAATCAATAAAAGAAAAAATAAGTTATTATAAGTAATTATTACAACTCATTTAATTATTATAAATCTTTGCTGTTCAAGCATGCACAATTTAAAAAGTGCATTATTAAACAAAAGAGCACTGCAATTTCTGTATTTTAATGTGCATATTACAAACAGAATTATTAAAACAAATGAACTCCTTACAACAGAAGCAATCAAAAAAGATAGTACAGTCAGAATTTACATTGCTAAGCTGACAATGAGAAAGGTTCCAGGTGCAGGCTATTAATTAATTTGGCTAATTTCCTTATTTGTAAAGTGAAAAACTCTAAAGACTCTTTTGATTTATGGCTCTGAGAACAATATGTAATACCCAAGACCTTTAAATTTATAAATATAGCCAATAGGAGAAAGTTACTCTAACTAAAGAAGTTAGTACTAGGACATATTTAGAGAATCATAGTATATGATGCCTAATGCTATAGTTAGGGGTTTCCCAGGTGGCAGAGTGGTAAAGAATCTGCCTGTCAATGCAGGAGATGTGGGTTCAATCCCTGGGCTAGGAAGATCTTTTGGAGGAAATGCTAACCCACTCCAGTAGTTTTGCCAGGATAATTCAATGGAGAGAGGAGCCTGATGGGCTACAGTCCATGGAGTCACAGAGCTGGACAAGATTGAGCAACTGAGCATGCATGCACAATACTGTATTTATTCTTTGTAATATAAATCAGTCTAAAATCATATAATACACTTAAATTGTACATTATCTAGTATAGATATTTTGCTTTACTAATATATAAACATTTTAAATATAAGTAATTTACTTTTTATTATATATATTAATATTTGTTGATAAGAAAATACGCTTGAACAAAAATATAAAAATTAACATTCAAAAGGTTCATGCAGAATACTTTTCATTTGCAATCTGATGGAGGAACAGAGGGTAACTATATTAAATATTATCTCCTTCCACTCTTCAAATACACCAAAGCATCTTCTTTAACAGAAAAAGGTAACTGGGCGAGTTACCTTTAAAAATGGCTGTAATATTAAACTTTAGACATTGATTAAGTATACAAATTAAAAATTAAAAAGTAACAAGCGTAAATTAGAGAATTCATTACTTCCAAAGTAATGAAAGAGGAAAAAGGAGAAAAATAAGAACATTTTTATAAACTAATCCAATAGATGACTGGAGAAAAAAAAGTAATAACAAAAAAGGATGAAAAGGGAAACAATACTATGGTAAGTGTGGAGAAGGAAATGGCAACCCACTCCACTATTCTTGCCTGGAGAATCTCATGGACAGAGGAGCCTGGCGGGCTACAGTCCATGGGGTCGCAAGAGTTGGGCATGACTTAGCAACTAAACCACCACCACCACCACCGAGGGTAAAACAACATGAAATATAGTGTAAAAATAAAACCTAGATGTTTCAGCAATTAACTTATTTTAAAATCATCTACAAAAAACAACTAAAATCTACTGGCATTTATTTATGAGCGCTACTAAAATACAACAACAAATAAATATAAAAGCAATGGGATGAGAATAAAGTACACCATGCAATTACCAACCAAAAAAGCTGATACAATTATAAGAATATGAAAAAAAATAAACTTTACAGCAAAAAATCATGATTATAGATGAAGTTTTTATATAAGGACATATAGTACACTGAATTCACCAAGATGAAATGCTGAACCTGAATGAACAAGCAAAAAAGACTCAAAACATATAAAGCACACATTGACAGAATAAAATGTCACAAACTCACAATCACAGAGGACATTAACTAGCCTCTAAGAAGGTACTGTATAGATAAAATGACAAAGGAAAGAAGGTTTGGATACCATTAATAAGCTTGTCTAATGGACATAACTAAATACTACTAAACATTAAACACAACTGTTAGAAAATACACATTCTTTTAAAAATCTATGTAGTATGTACAAATTATGAACAAACATATTCCTTGATAAAGCAAAGATGAATCATTATGAAATACATCAAGCTATTTGGTTAAAAAGTAATTAACTAAAATATAAATAAGAATGTAGCACCTAAAATGAGTGTGTGAAAAATTTAAAATACACAGTGAAATAATTAATGGGCCAAAGAAATCATAATGGAAATTGTGAAACATTTAGAAATGACAAGAAAAATAGGACCTATCAAACCTTCGGTTAAAGCTATGGCTATTTTCTCAGGGGAAAATTATAGACTTCAATATAAATATTTAAATGTATACTAAAAAACAGTGAATTAAGTGAAGCAAACATTCAATTTAAAACATTACAAAAATGGAGTACTAAGGAAACCTACAGAAAGTAAAGGAAAAAAGTAAAGAACAATAATAAACAAAATACAGGCCATCAACAAAACAAAAGCTGGTTGCTTTGGCAAAAAAGGTCAAGGATTAAAAAGTTGCAAATAATATGAAGTGAATTCAAGAAGAGGAAGACTTAAGCACTATGAATAATTTTATGACAGTAAATTTAAACCTGAAAAACAAATGAAATGCTATTCTAGAAAACTTTCATTACTAAAGATTCAAGGACAAACAAATTCTTAAAAGATGTGCAACTGCTAAAAAACTGAAGCAGTGGTTTCAATTCTATTAAAAAAGTATCATATCCAGAAATCTAATTCAAATTTTATAAAAACTTTAAGGTCTTGTCAAACATTTTGGTAAATATGAATATATTAATCTTGGAAAAATCTATAAAATAAAAGGAACCATAGTTAAAAAAGTATAGGACGGACTAGAAGTTTGATGAGATGCATGTAACTGCATATAAAAGCTTACAAAAATCCTTCCTACATCTCTTTGTAGAATTATTAGAATCGGCTAAACACACACAGGCCTTCCCTGGTGGCTCAGACAGTACAGAATCCTCCTGCAACGAGGGAGACATGGGTGGGATCCCTGGGTTGGGAAGATCCCCTGGAGGAGGGCATGGCAACCCTCTCCAGTATTCTTGCCTGGAGAATCCCTATGGACAGAGGGGCCTGGTGGGCTACAGTCCAAGGGGGTCACAGAGTCAAACACAACTGAGTGACTAAGCACATGGCACAAATACACACAGGAACCAAAACAGGGGCCAACAAGTGAAAAATCTGTACATGGAATTTACAGAAGAGAAAACCTAAATAGCCAACAAACAGGAGAGATGCTTAAACTCACCAAAACAACACAGATACTATTTGATACTCATCAGTCTAACAAAATCACAAGTCAGACTAATACCAAGAACTAAGTGTTAAGGAGAATCCAAGGTAAGCAAATTTTTACACATTGCTGATTCACCCATATGGCAATCCACTCCAGTATTCTTGCCTGGAGAGTTCCATAGACAGAGGAATCTGGAGGGCTATAGTCCATAGGGTCACAAATGGTCAGACACAACTGAAGCAACTTAGCATGCACACATGTGCGACTGAACCATAATAACTGGAAAAACAATCTGGTATTTTCCAATAAAGCAGAAAATATTCTATAGCCCAAGGTTTCACAAAGCAGAACCCTTTGACTGTTTGATCAGGTGGAAACACAGATGCTATCTACACTGCCTCTTTCCAAACCTAGTAAGTAGCTCCTAATGTATTTTTATATCTTTTACTTTCTCACTGGCAACTCATTTATAACTTTGTGGCACAGAAATTCTGGAATTCAATTACCTAACTTTTACTAGCATGCAGCTCTGAACCTTCTCTGTAACAAGTATCTAAATTTTTAGAAAGCAAATGAATATTAGCTTTTAGGGCAGCCTTAAACCTAGCAGAGTACAGACACTCAATATATATGCTATTCAAGAAGATACATGTACCAAAAAAATCTATCACCTATAAACTGGTACTCAACCACTATACACTGAATACAGTAGTAACAAGGGGATAAAATAATAAACAAGTGAATAAATAAAATTAAAAATTCCCATTATTGAAAACATACCCATAGTGATGTATTTTTCCTTGTATAAGAAATGGAACTGAAAGGTCAAGGACTTCCAGGTCTTCATGGCCAGATCTTACAGGAATTACACTATGAAACTTGTCTGAGAGTTTGCAGATTTCACTGAGTGTACCTCCTATTAAAAGGGAACAAATAAACCCTTCAAATAGTACAAATATAAAGTAGACAAACTGGGGTATTTATTGTGCAACACCTTAGGGGCAGTAAAAGACTAAAAGGATGGACAGAAAAAGACAACACATGCCATGAATTTAACACACTTATACATTTATTGTTAAAAACAGAAATTTGTAAACTTAGGATCCTATTCATTGATTAAAGAAACCACTAAGCAAAAATGCTGAGATATAAGCAAAATAAAAGGTTTGTGAAATATGAACCATCATCTTTTAAAATTTACACAAATTGCTCTTTATGCCTGAACACTTCGGTTCGAATGACCTAAAAAGAATAAAGTTGAGAATGAAAAAATGACAGGATTCCCATTATTAAGTTTGCTATATACTACTAATGTCTAGGCAAATTTAGTCTTGAGTTTGAAATGAATCTTTTCAGTTTTCACTTCAGTTCAGT